TTGCTGGTCCCCGGTACAGGTGCGACACCGAGGGTTGCGATCTCGTTACCGGTCAGTAAAAAAGACAAAAAGGAAAAAAAAAATCTCTTATTTCCTTTACCATGCCTAAGACAAAATGCCAAAAACTTTGAGTCTGTCAATGAGAGCCAAATGTTAGGCCGAGTTGTTTCCAAACTTGTGTTTCTATCTTGATGGGGCATAGCTGTAGTAGAGACCTTGCTTTTCTTGTCCCATCATCGCCATCCATGACATTCCCTCTGCACAGATATTTCTTCCAGGCCCACTACAGTCCATGCAATGTGTACGTGGTGGTGAACAAGAGGTACAAGACAAGTAACTCTGGGTGTGATGGGTGCTAACCAGATGGGACCTGGGCACTGGTGGAAACTGACTGGCCTCAAGTGCTGCATCACCTCAGCATCTGCAGATCCTGGGCCTGCTCACCAAAGGGGTCTCAGCAGCAGGCTCTTTCTGGCTATCTGGTAAGAAACGGCGTGTTGCACAACAGGAACCGAGAGCAGTTCTATTGATAAAGCATTAAGCAATCTCAAAAGGGCTTAGGTAAGAACAGATGAGGACAGATCATGACCTGCAGACCCAAATTTCAAGGAAGGTGGTGATGTGATCAGATGTGTTTTAGGAAGATGACCCTGGGCTGGTTTGTGGAAGACAGATCCAAAGTGGACACAAGTAGAGTTAAGGAGACCAGTTAGGAAGCAAGCACATACAGAAGTCCAGGTGGGATAAAGAGGCCTACGGTTAAGGCAGAGTAATTCAGGGGATGCAGGAGGTAGTGTGAGGGACACTGGAGGAAGAGAGAGAGGAGTCCAGGACAATCCCATGTGTCCAGCTAGAGTCTGAGTGGATGGGGGAACCAGCAACCAAAGCAGGAGAGCACAGACAGCAGAGAAGCAGTAAAAGAGAAGAGGTTTTGGGGGGAAGAATGAGTTGCTTTTGGGCATTTTGAGTCTGAGGCACCTGTGGGACATGCTGGTGGAGATGCCAGGCTCATAGGGCAAATCTAAACTGAAAGTAGAAAAGGTCTGGGCCAACAATTCAGATTTAGGAACCATCAGCATATACGGTGTACCTGAAACCATGAGAGTAAGTTAAATCCCTAAGAGAATTAAGGTCAGGAGCTTTGGTTTTCATTTCTCTTTCTATCAGACTTCCCAGAAAAATGTATTTTCTTGGGGGGGGCGGGGGGCTAGTCTTTTGTAATTTTTCTTCAAGATAAAACACACTAAAAATGTCAGTAATGGGGTAGATAATATCTATTTTTTAAAGCATATCCCAAATGTGTTAGTATTAGCAGTAACCAAGTCAAAGTTTATCTTAGTGCAACATAAAACTTCTATCGCACATTGTAGTCCATGTTTTATGCACTCACTCAAGCGTTTACAGAACATATTTTGGACCAGGTAAACGAAATCTTTCAAGGGCACTCCTCTGCAGTTAAAATCACACCACAAAGTTCTGTGCGATCTGACCACTGCATACATTTCCAACTTTATCTCATTAGCCGCCCCCCCCCCCCCCCCCCGGCCCATCTAATGGTCTTCAACCATTCCAAGGGCATGCTAAGCTCTTTCCTGCCTTTGCACGGCAGCTTCCTCTCATCTCTGTTCAGATCTCAGGTGAATGAACATCACCCCAGAGAGGCCTTCTGGGAACAGCCTAAGCAGTTCTCGCCTTCACTTTTTTCCATTACCTGGTTTTTATTTCCTTTACTGTACTTACACAAGTTCTGTTTTATCTGCCTATCGCGTCCCCCCAGTTTTAGTACTAGAAGTTCTCTAAGAGTAGGAATTCTGTGTCTTCTCTTCTGTACCCCCAGCGCCTAAAAGCGCTTGTCAAAAAATGATGGCGGGAATCAATAACGAGACCACCACGGTAGATCAGAGTGAATCCAGTGACTGCAGGTGCAGGCTCGGAAATCGACAGACCTGGGTCTATTCTCAGCTTCTCAGCTTCCTGTGACTTTCAGCAAATTACTGGGAGCCCCTCGGCCCCAGTTTGCTCAACTGCAAAACGACACCAGTCACAGCAGGAGGCGGCTCCCATAGCGCGGACACGCAGAAACACATGGTAGGTGTCACGAGTCAACCACTGCACGACCACGTGCGGCAGCCACGTCCCCGCCGGGTGGGCTGCCACGCTGCCCCCGCCCCGGCCATGTGGCGCGGCTGCCCGCGGCAGCACCCACCTGTCTCCCTCTGCGTCTTCACGCTGATGTATTGGCGCAGCTTCTTCACCGCCCGGTCCCGGATGCCCTTCTCGTTGGATGCAAGCCGCTGGGCAAACTGGATCTCGGCCGGCTGCATGGCGGGGGCCATCGCGCCCACCGCAGCATCCCCGGCCCGCCTCCTCCCGCAGCAGAG